GCTGTGCTGTGCTGTGCTGTGCTGTGCTGAGCCATCCACGGCTGCCCATCCCACCATCACCACCACCACCACCATCATCCCGCGCATCCCTATCATCAACAGCAATGACAGACTCAAGGCCCGTCGTCGTCGACAACGGCACCGGCTTTGTCAAGGTCGGCTATGCCGGCTCCAACTTCCCCGAGCACGTCTTTCCGTCGATCGTCGGTCGACCCATCCTGCGATCCGAAGAGCGCGACGCTATCTCGAGCAACACCGGCACGCAGATCAAGGACATCATGGTGGGAACAGAGGCAGAGGAGCTGCGCAACTACCTCCAGATCAACCAGCCCATGGAGCACGGCATCGTCAAGGATTTCGGCGACATGCGCCACGTGTGGAACTACACTTTCGACGAGAAGCTGCGCATCGATCCGCAGGGGCGCAAGATCCTGCTCACCGAGCCGCCCATGAACCCCAAGAAGAACCGCGAGGAGATGTGCCAGATCATGTTTGAAGAGTACGGCTTTGACGGCGTCTACGTCGCCATCCAGGCCGTGCTTACGCTCTATGCCCAGGGTCTCCAGACGGGTGTCGTGGTCGACTCGGGCGACGGTGTGACGCACGTGGTGCCCGTCTTCGAAGGTTTCGCCCTGCCCCACCTCACCAAGCGTTTGGACGTGGCGGGTCGCGACGTGACGCGCTACCTGATCAAGCTGCTCCTCATGCGCGGATACGCCTTCAACCGCACCGCCGACTTTGACACGGTGCGTCAGATCAAGGAGAAGCTGTGCTACGTCAGCTACGACCTCGACCTCGACAAGAAGCTCGCCGAGGAAACAACAACGCTCGTAGAGCAGTATACGCTGCCCGACGGCCGCATCATCAAGGTCGGCTCCGAACGCTTCGAGGCGCCCGAGTGCATGTTCCAACCGCATCTGGTGGACGTCGAGCAGGCGGGCGTGGCCGAGCTCCTCTTCAACACCATCCAGTCCGCCGCCGTCGACACGCGCGCCGAGCTGTACAAGCACATTGTCCTCTCCGGCGGCTCGAGCATGTACCCGGGTCTGCCCAGCCGTCTGGAAAAGGAGATGAAGCAGCTCTACCTCACCCGCGTCCTCAACAACGACGGCGCGCGCCTCAAGAACTTCAAGATCAGGATCGAAGATCCGCCGCGCAGAAAGCACATGGTCTTCCTCGGCGGCGCCGTGCTCGCCGACATTATGAAGAACAGAGAGAGCTTCTGGATCTCGCGTGCAGAGTGGTACGAACAGGGCAAGGCGTGCCTCGACCGTCTGGGCCGTCATTCCTAAGCCCTTTCGTCTGCTATTATTAGATGGCATGATCGCACGGTCGTGCAAAGCAAAATGACAATATGAGCCCCAGACAAGTGCGTCCAATGCGTCGTGATGGCTGGGTAGAAAGCCGATTCGGGCAGAATTCCAGCCGAAAACAGCCACGGGGTGCTGCTCCACATTTCTGAACGGACCCCTGCATGCGATCCGCATGCGATCCGCACGCATCCGTCTTTCCCTCCGATCCACCATCACCAAACACCACCACCAGGACTACAACACGCTTTTTCCTGTCGCGCGAGATCTTTGGCTCTACTGGACGCAGCGATGGCGCAGGCACAGCCGCTGCAGGGCGTATCGATACCGCGGTACGAGACACGCACAAGCACCGCCTCGTCGTACACGGTCTATGCGGTGGTGGTTCAGCTGCCCGTTCGCTCCTGGACCGTGTACCGGCGCTACTCGGAGTTCGTGCGGCTCGACAAGAACCTCGCTGCCAGTGCCTCTTCGTCCGGCGAGCCGGGTGGGGCAGGCAAACCGGCGCCTCGGGCTCTACCACCCCGAGAGCGCGCGCGAGAGTGGAAAAAGACGTTCTCTGGATTTCTGTCGTTTGCCTCGGGCGATGCAGCGGAAGACGACGAGATGTGGCTCAAGCAGCGCATGCACGATCTCGAGCTGTACCTCAAGAGCATCGTCATGGATGCCGACGCGAGCTGGCGCGAATCCGACGCGTTCAAGTCGTTCATCGAGTGGCCCATGAACGTCAAGATGGTCACCTCTTCCCCCTCGCCACGCAAACCCACACCTGCTGCTGCAAACTCGACCTCAGCGACTCGTACAGCGTCCATGCCGGGGGCTCTTGCGGGTACACGGACGCTGGGAAGTGCAGCGGCGGATGCACCGCGCCAGGCTGCGCAGGAGACAGACACCACACGGCCACTCGACAATACACAGCTCTTCCAGTCGCAAACCGACGCCATGGACCAGCAGGACGAGCAGCTGCTCAACCTCGCCGCCATCCTGCGTCGTCAGCGCCAGATGGGCGAGGCGATCAACCAGGAACTCGGCGAACAGACCGAACTGCTCGGCCAGCTCGATACCGAGGTCGAGACGACACAGGCCAAGCTCAGCAAGGCAGACGCAAAGATGGATCGATTCGACGGAGGTGCTGCCAAACGCAAGGCGGGCATCGGGCGCAAGTTCTAGGCACAAGTTCTAGCTCCCAAATCCCATTCGAGTGCCTATACCCTGTTCGACGTTGGAGTGAGGATTTCAGGAGGGTCGCGGGTGTCGCGAGCGAAAGTCTTTGTTCATCTCGTCCATGGTGCACCACTGGACGCCGTCGTGCGTGTTGATCCAGTCGATAAAGCGTTCGTGCATGGCAAGCACCTGGGGCCGACCCGACACATCCGGGTGGACCGTAATCTATCGCAAAGCCCAAAAAGTCAGCCTCATGTGCGTTGTGCTGGTGGGGTGGGTTTGGGGAAACTTACGGGGAAGACGAAATCTTCTTCGTTGTCGTAGAGCCACTGGAACATGTCCATCCACATCTGTTCGATGTCCCTGGGGTTGACCCAGCCGTGGCTGTTGGGCGATTTTTTGATGAACATCATGGGCGGTAGATCGTCGACGTACCAGTTGGCGGGGATTTCGACGAGTCCTGTGACGTCTCCCCTCTGCAGGGGTTTCATCCAGCTCTCGGGCCTGTTTGCGTAGTCGATCTTGGTCCATTNCCAGTTGGCGGGGATTTCGACGAGTCCTGTGACGTCTCCCCTCTGCAGGGGTTTCATCCAGCTCTCGGGCCTGTTTGCGTAGTCGATCTTGGTCCATTGATCGCCGGTCCTCAACCAGTAGCATTGGCTGTCGTGGTGCATCATGGAATGGTCGTACTCGATCCCATAGCTCAGCAGCAGATCTGCGCCCTCTGCGGAAGTTTCCCACCATGGCGCCACACTTCCCGTCGGCGACTTGCCCACAAACTCGGTCAGCTGCCGGAACGTCTTTTCGAGGATCGCCTTTTGCTGGTCGAGCGACATGGCGGTGGGGTTCTCGTGGGAGTAGCCGTGCAGGCCGATCTCGTGGCCTGCATCGACAATCGCGCGGCACTCGGTGGGGAACGACTCGAGCGTGTGGCCGGGGATGAACCATGTTGCCCGAATCCCCTTCTTGGCAAAGAGGCGGAGCATGCGGGGCACGCCGACTTCGGCAGCAAAGATACCGCGAGAAATGTCCGAGGGCGAATCTTCGCCGCCGTAGGAGCCGAGCCAGCCGGCGACGGCGTCAATGTCCACGCCGTACGATACGAGCACGCGTTTGGCCGGCATGTCGAATACCAAAGAGTGAAGAGCAAGATGGTGGTGGCACGGTGGGCTGCACAGGGTGCGGGAGAGGCTGATAAGCTCCGGCTGCGGCTGCTGAGCAAAGATAGGCGCAAAGCCGAGCTCGAGCCACATGACTGGCATGGATAGCGAAGCTGCTTTGGGGCATGGGGCACGGTGCACGGTGCACGGTGCACGGTGGAGGCCGTGCGGCCGTTTAGATTGCCGAGCTCGCCGCGATCCTCTTCGGCCTAACATCCTTTGCCTGGAAAGCAGTCCTAACGGCCGGATCAAGGAAGGCAGAGTCGGGCCGCGGCTGCTTTGGCTGTGATCTGTGCGGGAAGCGGTGCGAGTTTGGGCGCTTTGGATCGTGAAAAATTGGCGGCGACCTCCACTGTTCGGTCCAACGTGTGACGAACAAGTGCCGCGCTTCATCTCTTGCTTCCCGCCATCATTGGCGCAGTAGTAGTATAAGAGAGGCTGATGTCTTTCGTCCCCATCGGCAGCACCTTGCGCATCCTCACAAGAACACGCTGTCTGCCCCTTCGCACCGTGCTCCCATCAACATCACACGTAAGTTTGCGCGAAGCCAACGCAAAGGGAAACGCCGTTCGAGTGATGAGGACATTTCTACTTCATGTGAACAATCCAACACCGAGAAGGTCATCAGCCTTACACTGTGCGGAGCTACTAGATTAACCAGACTCTGACCAACGGCGTCCCCCCCTCTTGCTTGAACTGGAGAGCGGAGCTGGAACTGACACGGCTACTTTTGCATTGCAGATCCCATTTCTTGAGCAGACTCGAATCAGCGCCTTTCGCTCCCTGTCGACTTTGCACACGCCGGACCCTGCCGCACTCGCATCGCAACTCAGCAGCATGGCGTCTACATCGCGCACACCCGCGCCCGAGCCGACGCTGTACATCGACGGCAAGTGGACGCACGCCAAGGCGGGCCACACGCGCCCCATCATCAATCCGTACGACAACTCGACCATCTGCGTGATCGACGAGGCGGGCAGCGAGGATGCGCTCGCCGCCATCCACTCTGCCGTCGACTTCTTCCGCACCTCGGACTGGCCGCACCAGACGTGCACCGAGCGCACGCCGCTGCTGACGCGCGTCGCCGAGCTGCTGCAGCGCGACAAGGAGATCCTGGCCGAGATCGAGACCAAGGACACGGGCAAGACGCTCGAGGAGAGCCGCGTGGACGTCGACGACGTGACCAACGTCTTCCGCTTCTATGCGCAGGAGGCCAACAAGCTGGATACGCCCAAGCGCATCGTCTCGGACGTCATCCCCGACACGGTGGAGAGCACGACGAGCCACGTGCCCGTGGGCGTGTGCGTGCTGATTGCGCCGTGGAACTATCCGCTGCTGCAGATCTGCTGGAAGGTGGCGCCCGCGCTCGCCACGGGCAACGCAGTGATCATCAAGCCGAGCGAGGTGACGCCGCTGTCGACGGTGCACTTTGTCAAGCTGCTCGTCGAGGCGGGCGCACCCGTGGGGTCGGTGCAGCTGCTCACGGCGGGAGGTGCGGGCGTGGGTCCTACGCTGACCGAGCATCCGGACGTCGACCTCGTCTCCTTCACGGGCGGTCTGGATACGGGGCGTCGCATCATCGCGTCGTGCGCGGGCACGGTGAAGCGATGCACGGTGGAGCTGGGCGGCAAGAACCCGAACGTGGTGTTTGGCGACTGCGATCTGGACTGGGCCATCGACACGGTGGTCACCGCGGTGTTTCTGCACTCGGGCCAGGTGTGCTCGTCGGGCGCGCGCCTGATCGTCGAAGAGTCGATCGCCGACCGACTGGTGGCGGGCGTGGTGGAGCGGGCCAAGCGCATCCAGATGGGCAACGGCATGGACGCGGCGAGCGAGACGGGACCGTTGGTGTCGGCGGCGCATCTGGCCAAGGTGGAGGCGTACGTGCAGCTGGGCGTCCAGGAGGGGGCCAAGCTCATGTGCGGTGGAGCGAGGCCCGACGCGAAAGCGCATCCGGAGCTCGCCAAGGGCTTCTTCTTTTGTCCGACCGTGCTGGACCACTGCCATCGCGACATGCGCATCGTGCAGGAGGAGACGTTCGGACCCATCCTCACCGTCGAGCGATTCAAGGACGGCGACGAGGCACACGCCGTCCGCCTCGCCAACGACACCAAGTACGGCCTCGCCGGCGGTGTCCAGTCGGCCAACGTCGAGCGTGCGCGTCGCGTGGCAAAGCAGCTGCGACACGGCACCGTGTGGGTCAACACGTACGGATCGTACACGCCCGCGGCCGAGTGGGGCGGATTCGGGATGAGCGGCAACGGCCGCGAGTTGGGAAGCAAGGGCCTCGACGAGTACATTGAAACCAAGCACCAGTGGGTCGAGACGAACGCGGCCAAGCCCGGCTGGTTCAAGGGCCAGGGCAAGCTCCTCCAGCCTGCACAGCCTGCACAGCCCGCCAAGGCCAAGTTGTAGTGTTTCTGCCGCCACTGCCCATGTATGATAGTCGTGCTTCTGGATACCTTGCCGCACTGTATTGTTTCGATCTAACACTCTTCGAGGCGCGGATCGATGCGTGGGGAAGCGTAGGCACATAGAGTGGAGAGTGGAGACATGCAGCTTGGAATCACACGCCGAGAGACGAGTCGATGAATCGCCCCTTTGCGAGCGGCAGTAATTCAGAGGCTCAGCAGCCGCCCTCCACAGCGGAGAGAGTGTGTCTCACAGCCTCGCTCGCACAGGCACGGCACGGCCCTCTCCATTCCCCACCACCACCATCATCACCACCGCAATTCCTCAACCATGCCCGCTGTGGCCGCGGCAAACAATGGCGCGTCCTCCTTCCTGTCCGCCAACCATCCGCTCAACCTGCGCAAGCAGGCGCAGCCCAAACTCGACTCGAGCTTCAGCGTAAAGACGTACATCGGCGCGGCGAATGCGCTCCTCGACAAGGCGCGTGCCTCGGACGCACAGGGCCAGATCGAAGTGGCTTTCGTCAACTACCTCAAGGCGGCCAACGTCGCCGCATTCATCTCCAAGCACGACGACTGGCCCAAGATCCAAAAGGCGCGCGGCTCGGTGTACCAGGCGTACAACGAGCTGATGAAGCAGGCGCCTGCGTTTATCGAGCGCACAAAGAGGCTCGAGTCCCAGCTCGCCGTGCGCGAGGAGCGCAATGCACAGCAGCTTGCACAGGCTGCAGAGGAACAGGCGCAGAACGCGGCGAGACAGAGACAGGCCCAGCCGCCGGGCGATTCGGCGCTGCGCGATCCGGGCAGCAGACCGGTGCATGGCTCGGACGAGGAAGACCACGCAACAGACGCCTCGCCCATCGACCAGCATGCCGAGGGAAGGCGCACGGGTAGCTCGCTCGCAGACCGTCTCCAGGCTCTGCGCAATAGCGCCTCCACCGATCCAGCAGAGCTGCGCGACCGGTCCCAGTCCAACGCATCCACCTCCGACGCCGACACCGACACCGACTCGGCCTTTGCCACGCACAGCTTGCACCACGCGCTCGACGAGGCCAGCAACGCCTTCCCCGCCATCCCCACCGCCTCCGAATTCAATGCCCACTACCCATCCATCGACCAGCTCGAAAACGACGACGCCGCCGCCGGCGGCTTCCCAGCGCCACCCTCGCATCCCGTCGGCAAGTCCAAACGCCCGCTTCCCGCTCCTCCCTCCACCAGCTCCAACGACCTCGCTCGCGAGTTCGCCCTCGCCCGCGACGTGCCCGAACCCTTTGACCGCGCCAACTCGGCACCAACACCACCGCAGCCGCCAAGCAGGCAGCCACGCGCCATCGACGGCCTCCCGCCGCACGACCCACACCGCATAGGTCTGCACCAGGCTCCATCCTCACCCGCCCCCGCACCAGCACCAGCATCGACCGCAGAGCCGCGCTCGCTCATCGTCGGCGCAAAGCCGCCACTGCCCATGAAGAACCACATTTCGGTCGAGGAGCTCTTCGGCTTCCTCCACCCGGGCTTCCAGGAGTTCACCGACGCACAAGGCAACCGCAAGATCGGCAAAAAGGTCGGCCTGGATGTGCTGCTGCTCGATGTGCGCAGTCGCGCCGACTTCGACGCCGGCCGCATCCTCGGCGGCAAGCTCGTCTGCATCGAACCCATCACGCTGCGCGACGGCATGAGCGCCGCCGAGATCGAGGACAAGCTCGTGCTCTCGCCGCACGAGGAGCAGGCGGCGTTTGCGGCGCGCAATACGTTCGACCTCGTGGTGCTGTACGACCGCAACCTGCGCGCGCTCCGCGGCACCCACTCGCCCGACAAGATCCCCCAGGACCCCGCCGCACAGGCTAGGATGGACACGCTGATCCGCGCGATCTACGAGAATGAGTTTGCAAAGACGCTCAAGCACCAGCCCGTGCTGCTCGTGGGCGGGTTCGAGAGGTGGGCGCAAAAGGCGGGCGACAAGCTGGTGCTGCGCAGCGCAGCGGCCAATGGGCACGCGCACAGGAGCAGCATCTCGTTTGAGCCGGGCACGCGCTTCCCCACCGCCGACGACCCGGCTACGAGGGGGGCGACGGCTGAACAGCTCGCGCAGCAGCAGGAACTCAAGCGCACGCGCAGACAGCAGCAGGTGGTGGCCGACCCAGCGCGCAGCATGCAGCCCGGCGGCGTATACCCGAGCCGCACGAGCAATGGTGGCAGCTCGCCGTTTTCGATCGAGGGTGGGTTTGGTGGGCCGTCGCTGCCCGCACGCGCGTACAAAGCGCCCGGCGGGATTGCGTCGGGCGCACCGTCGTTTCCGCCGCCCGCTGCGCACCGGTCGCTGTCGCGCTCCAACTCGGCCACCGCGTTCGACTATCCGCAGCTCAAGCCCAGCGTCTCGGGCGGTATGTCGGCGTACGGCGGCATGACGCCGCAGCCGCCGCCGATGGCCGCATCGTCGTCGTCGCCGTCGGGCGCCGTAGCAGCCAGCACGCGCGACCGCCCCACGTCGGTGCCCACGGCGCTGATTCCGGGCACAGGCTCGGCGGGCGGCAACGATCCGTCCAAGAAGCAGGTCATGGCGCCCGGCTACGCGGGCCACCTCAGCACCGCCTCGCGCGTCTACGCCAGCCCCACCAACGGCCGCAACTTTGACGAGATCAAGATCGGCCTGACGGGACTCAAGAACCTGGGCAACTCGTGCTACATGAACTCGACGCTGCAGTGTCTCTCGGCCACGATTCCGCTCGCGCGGTTTTTGTTGGATGGATCGTATAAGCAGGCGATCAATCGAACCAATCCGTTGGGCACGCAGGGGCAACTGGCTACGGCGCTGGCGGGATTGATCCATGTGATGTGGGGCGAAAAGTACGCCTTTGTCTCGCCAGTGACGTTCCGCGAAGCCATGGCGAGGTTCGCGCCCAGTTTTCGCGGGTACGATCAGCACGACTCGCAAGAGTTCCTGGCGATTCTGCTGGACGGGCTGCACGAGGATTTGAACTATGTCGTGACACGGCCGGCGGCGGTGGAGATGACGCCGGAGAGGGAGGCGCAGTTGGAGACGCTGCCGCAGCAGGTGGCGAGTGTCAAGGAGTGGGCGATCTATCGGATGCGCAACGACAGTCTGGTGGTCGACTGGTTCCAGGGTCAGTTTCGCAACAAGCTCACGTGCCTTACGTGCGGCAAGACGAGCACGACGTACGAAGCGTACACGTACCTCTCACTTCCTGTCCCGCACGGAAGGGGGGTTGGCAAGGTGTCGTTGGAGCAGTGTTTGGATGCATTTGTGCGCGAAGAGGTGTTGGATAAGGCCGATATGTGGAATTGTCCGCGCTGCAACAAGCCACGCAAAGCGACGAAGCGACTGTCGATTAGTCGGCTGCCGCAAATCCTGTTGATTCACCTCAAGAGGTTCTCGTTCAAAGGGCCCTTTACGGACAAGATCGACACGACGGTCACCTTCCCCACCACCACACCCATGGACCTGACGAACTATATGCCGGCGCCCTTGCCACCGGGTAGTGGGCAGGTGGAGAGTGGCAGTCAACGTCCGCCGTACCGATACGATCTGTATGCGGTGACGCACCACTTTGGCAGCCTCAATACAGGCCACTATACGGCGACGGTCAAGAGCAGTGGCGAGTGGTGGTACTGCGACGACTCGAGGATCACCAGGGGCGACGATAGGCAGCTGCATACCAATAGTCCCTACGTGCTGTGGTTCAGGAGGAAGCAGTAGAATGCAATGTGCCACCATTGATCCGCGTGTGCAGGCGTACGGTGAGCAAGCTGTCTGGTGCGCTGCAATCCGCCTTTCGCCGTCAGTGGAGCGTGCGAGTCAAAGATAAAGTCTCGCAAGAATGGCTACGCAGTCAATGATCAACTCCTACACAAGCTTGCGACTCGTACGCCTCCTATGCTCAACCTGCATGCCAGCCCCCAGGGACAGACGGTTAAGACAAACGCAAGTCCAAGTCCAAGGGAGCGGAACGGCACCGCGAACAATGGCATGAGTGATTACACCGCACTGGCGCATAAGCCCGCGAGCATCGCAACCCTGCTTCCCCTCACCTCAACCAGGCCCATATCCGCATACCTAGGCGGTACCAGATGGCCTGAGCCGTGGCCCCCGTTCCTTAACGGGGCGAGCCGGCGGCTGAAACAATGTCAAGTCAAGTCAAGTCAAGTCAAGTCTTTTTAGAATGGCACTGGCATCAACGCTATCAACTACTGAAGGCAGCAGAAAAGCGCCTCGCGACACGGATCCCCCGTGTGAGCCACCTGGATAGCACATGCACCATATCTCCCATGGGGGTTAGTTCCGGAATCACCACGCCGCTGTACGGACGATGTCCGCCTCGTGTGCGCGCGGTCGCTGGCAACCTGTCAAAACGCTATTCCGAAGCTTGGACCCTGCTTGGATTTTTTAAGCGAGGCCTCTCCTTCAGCCCAAGAAGACCAACTCGGCGCACACGCAAGACAAAGGAGACAAGCCCGTGATGAGCCCACCGACACCGCTGTCGACTTGTTGTTCATATGCAGCTCGCTTTGCCTTTGGACAGCATCGGCGGCGTGCAAATACCCGTTGACAATGGCCAGCTCGCTGCACTTCCACACGTACAGCCAACCGCCTCTGTCGCCATGACGATGTGTCGAACTCTAGCCATTCCGCTTGCGATACCTGGCGCATATAAACCCCCTGCCCCCCATCGCGTCTGCGTGCCCCGCTCCATCGACCATTCTATCAACCGTCTTGCCTCGCGCGCTTCCTCCAAGTCAATCCACATTCATATCCGCTCACTTTGACGTCCACCATGCCCAGACAGACTCCCGTGGCCAGGAGCAAGAAGCCATGCCCTCGCTGCAGCTTTGTCATAACTCACATTCCTCAAAACCTCAGCTGGCTCTTCCTGGTGGACCTCTGGTCCGTGGCCGACCGCTCGCTGCGTCACTTCCAAATCATGCGCGACGTCTCGAAGCGCGACACCCCCGAGGGCGAGTGGTTCATCCTCGTCAAGGTGAAGCATGCGGCTGCTCGCAAGGCGATCGAATCGGTGCTTCTTGAGCACAAAGCCGTCACTAGGACCGTCAGTCACGACGAGAGCGACGATCTGATCCAGCGCTTCACGCAGGACGACCAAGACCTTTTCAGCCAGTTTGCCACGGACCGAGCCGAGGTCCTGGGCGAAACGTCACGCGCTGGTGCTCAAAGGTCTCTCCCAGCCCCTACCGTCGACCAGGAGGCAGTCAACTCACCCTGAAGGCGCTCGCGCCTCCAACAGCGCTGCATTCAGGCGCGCTAGCATGCCGCATCTAAAGACGCCATTGTCTGTCGTCTCTCATCTCGTCCAATTCCAATCGCTTGAATCATGCACGAGTGTCAGTCGTGTTCGGCAGCGATCTTCGTAGGCGACCAATTTTGGACCACTGGTGGACCCGAGCGAGTTTGAGCCGTTCCTCGGAGTGGCTCGTCCAGGTGCGATTCCCGCCTCCTCCCCCTCCCCAAACATCATGGCGTGCACCGATCCGGGCCACCAAGCAAAGAATCGCGCTCGGTAAGCCGCCACGGCCGCAGCTGCAGCGGCGCAGGCGGAAATGCAGCGTCTCGACGGCGATGACAGCATCGTCGATCCGCTCCTCTGATGCCGCAAAGATGCTGCAAGCGATGCATTTGGCGACAACGACGAGAACGACCACGACGAACAGCCAGAGTCGGTTAGGCAGTCTCGTTGCTGTTCTTGTTCTGACAGAGCAAAGCGGTCTCACCGACTCCTTTAAAGGCCACGGTGTCGGACCGGAAGAACTCTTCAAGACTGATGATAGGCGTCGTGGCTCCAGAGACTTCCACCTGCACCAGTGCGTTGCGATGGATGAGCATCGGGATCAAGGTGGTTGCAACCTTGCAGGTTCTGAGTCAAGTTGCAAGGGTGGAGCGTGATGCTTTGAGCATCCTGTCGCTCCAGTTGGCGTCTGCCGCCCTTCCACTTCTCGATGGTCAGAATCACCCACCATTCGTACCGGCCTTGGGCGGTGATGTCTCTGCGCATCTCGATGTCACACAGACGCAAATACCCAGGAAGCTTTGCGACTTTGCAGATCTCGCCGGGACGGAGGCCAGTGTTGAAAAAAAAAAAAAAAAAAAAAAAAA